CAAAAATAATAACCCAAGCGAAAACAAAATAAATGTGATGCTATAGAAAAGTTGCACCAGTGTGTTTTAAAAATATGGTTCCACTGAAATAAAAGACAGAATGTCAATGTCAGTCTACAAAAAAATAAAAATAAAGGCTATCCTGTTGCTTTGGAAGAAACACCCCTCTGAAACGCTTGGCAAAGCTGACGGGGCTCCAAGCCAAGAGTGATAGTAGATTAAAAGATGAATAGATGCCAAAAGACTTGTGTCAGAAATCACTTTATGTTCAACATTAGTACTTATGGGAAGCATGTGGTCTCAATGGTGAAATTCTTGTATTAGCCTTTTTTGTTGCAAGTGTCATCTTACATGCCTTTTCAATTCCAAGCAATGCCTGACATTTGTCCTTGACACACTAGACCTCAGTTCCAAGTGAAAAATTCAATGTAGAGTAGATGTTAACTCAACTTCACATCTTTGATACTATGCCAATACGCTTCCAAGTTGCTATTTCTCACTAGGACTTGAGGGCAAAGGGTATCTATAGCTCGCTGACACCATCAATGTTCCCTCTATTTGTAGGCAAGTACATTCACATCTTCTGAATGTTTTTGAAATATTACAATAGGCTAATAGTTAAAAAAAACAAAATAACTGCATCAGAAATCTGATATTTTAGTTTGTCAACCATTTGTGCTGGATCAGTTCAGAGAAAAAAAAAAAGCATTGCCTTGATCTGATCAATGCACTATTGTAATTTAAAGTAGCTCTAGAATTGAAAAACTAAGTGTAATAAATGGAAGTAGAAAGTTTTTGACTAGTGATTTGATCTCCAACTGACATCAACTAAGTGAAATTTGAGGGCTAAGTACAGGCAGAAATTGAAGACAGGTTTTAAGGACATGCGCAATTTAATCACGCCTCATTTCCATGTACATGGTCAATTAAAAAATAATTATCCCTAGGATTTCAGTTCACAAGATAACAAAAAACAAATTTACACAACAACTGTTCAAAATAAGGAAAGTTCTCAGCAATGCCAGACATGCAGTGCTTGACAAAGAACTTGTCAATCAA